ATGATGTTATACTTATATATACTTATTACATAATTTAATATAATTTAAATTATTTAATAAAAGTTTTAAGTGCGTGAGTTATGAATATTTAGGAGAACAAAGTTTACTGAACCTTATTTTATTTAGAATTATTTGCTTAGAATTTGCGATCAAAATAATTTATCCATTATTTCAAAATTTTATAATATACATTAAATTTTATAAAAGCATAGTTTAAAAAGACACACATACACGATTTTGACACCATTTATACACATTGAAAAAAGATGATAACAAAGGAACTCTGTCCACCCTCTAACCACCGCAGTCAGCCATATGACTTATTGCAACCCTCCCATATTCCACTCCCAAAATCCAAGTTAAAATTAAATTCCCGGATATAGAGGAATTGGACCTGAACTCCTCATTACTGTAAAGATATACAATATGCGGCTCTTTTGACGGCGAGAGCAAAACAGTCACACAGAATATATCTGACCGTCTCCTAATCGTCCCGGTAAAATCTACATAAAAAGAAATTCGATTATTACCCAATTAATTCAAATGATATTTCAACCCGATTTCGATTTATTCCCAGTATATACAGGATTTGTATTTTCTCATGTGTAACAGGCACCCTAAAGTCGTTTCTCTATTTTTTCTTTTAAATAATTGAGTATTCATACAGAAGCAATAGCAATTTAATAATTGAAATTTCATAAACCGGCAAGTCATATATCAGAGACCAATTTTGTTTTTTTTTGAGAGCTCATAAAATTTTTTTGTTAATATGGAACGTCCGGTATTAATTGCAGTTTTTAAGTATGTCCAATCCGTAATATCGGCTGCAATGTTAAGTTTCCAAGGTTGCGATTTACATTTGGAAACTTAATAATAGAAACGATTGCGTTTTATCGATTGAAAACTCAATACAATTTTTCCGGATTTTTCTTTTTAAATGTAAGAATTGAATAATCCACCCCTTATTTTAAGGAAAAAACTAATTTACCCTAAAATTAATATCACATTTTTCCTTAGCATTTTTATAAAAATTTCGTTTTCTAAAAAACATTAAAAAAAAATAAAAATATAAAATTAAATTTTTTTCAACAACAAAAAAATTATTAAAAAAAAAATTTAATTTTTTACTATTGAGAGCTGAGGATATCGAGAATTATTTTTTTATTCTATTCTACATTAATATTCTATTCTACATTATAGAAAAAAAATATTCTTTATATCAAACATTAATCATACATCATTATAAGATCTTTATTGTTGACATTGTAACAATTCCTTCTCTGTTATGAGCTCCCTCTTGCACACAAACACACACACCAGCATATGGAGAAAAGTCTTTATAAGTTCTTCATATAAAAGATATTTTATATTCTCTCTTTTATAATCGTTTTTTTTTTGCAATCTATTATGAATTGTACTTAAAAATAAGAAGAAACAGTAACAATAACACACAACATTTCTGATAAATTTTAATGATATATAGGTGGAATACGTAAGATATACTTTTAAAACTGAATTATTTCAAATATTTATACTAAATATTATAAAACATACATACATACACATATAAATATGATCTTATGTGAGTTTAAAAGAATTGCACTTAAATAATGATTGAGATTGCATAAATTTTTCTTTTTTATCGTATATTATAAAAGGATGTTATAAACGTGTACAAGGAGCAACAAGCACTATAAGATACGATAAAAGTATGAATGATATTGAAAATATTTAATAATATTTTAAATATTTTTTTATATATTTATGCATGTTTATGTTTGTATGTATGAAAACAATTATTAAAAATATTATGATATATTTTAACGTGTATATAGTAGGATATAAGTAATTGTATGGTTGTTTATTTGTTATTGCACGAATATTTAATGGCAATAAGGCGAGTTAATTATAAGAAATCAATAAATTAAGAAAATTTGCAATGCTATACAATTTTCAAAAATCAAATTTATATTCTACTGATCATCACTTTTATATTTAAATAAGATAAATTCTTTGTATAAGTATAATATGAAAATAATTAAAATAATTTTTTTAAATATTATTGAAACTTGTTCAAAATTTTTGCTTTGATCTACGTAAATCATTCAAAGAAATCTTGTGTTCAAAGAAATTCTTTAAGAATATTTAAGTACAATATTTAACAGATATACATATATATATTAAGTTCCTTTCGCTTATAAGATATCGACATGATTGTACTTAATATTTAAAAATCACTTTAATATTAAAATTAATAATTAAATTAACAAGAATCGCATAATTATAGTCATATATGAAAACTATAAATATTTAATTAAAATCTTCTGATAGTTTAAATAATTTACATATTTCTTTTTACTTGCCGCTCTTTATTTTATAGTATCATAATCTAATAAATATAAGATATTGCAATCTTAATATGAGATAATGCTTGTTTCAGAAAATTAATGTACTTAATAAATTAATAATAAAATTGCATATATTTAGGAGAGCATTTTTCAATAAAACTACTATCAAAAATCAAATTGCCTTAAAATCTGAAGTTTTTTTAAAATTAAAAATTATATCTTGTTAAATTTTCTAGAATAATTCAATATCCAATAATAGCTTAAAGGTCAAATTTTCAGGAAATATTCTGTATGATTTTAATACAATCCTTTGCGTGATTTTTCGTTTAAGTAAATAAAATAATGCAGAAGAGTTTATTTTTATTGCCGCGTGACTTACGTGACATTTGTCGTTGTTTGTAATATAGCATAATTACACATTTTCACAAGGATCAGAAGATTTCATATTAAATACCAGACTTGGTTTCAAATTCAGATTCTCTTATGGAGTTATTTTCTTCGTATTTTAGTCTATTTGCTATGAAGACATTCTCTATCATAATATTTTCGACTCTTGCAATGTGATTTTCTTGTTGTTACTTTTATATTGATTAATTTATGTACTACAATAAAAAAATTTATTATTTCTTATAGCTTCATTAAATTTTGTTCTGTTTAAACTTACATTTTTGGTTTTTTCGACCTTGCCTGTCATTTGTTAAATACTTCTTGACAAAAACCGTCGCATCTCTACGCCACATATCACATTATAACGTCAACTGGAATATAACTGCAACATAATAAATGTTTCTCGGTAACTTCCAACAAGTATCATTACAATCGTTACTTGGAATATCAAATTCAAGTTGTAATGGCATTATTTGTCGCTCTACTTCTACAACTATTATGAGGTTCAATATTCAATAAATTCTATTTGATTTAAATTTTCCTATAAAATATGTAATAATATAAAACACAAAGTATATTTATTACAATAAAATAGTAGTAATTATTATCATAACTTTCAGTATAACAAAACAAGCATACAAAATGAAAATCGATTATTTATATTAAAAACAGAAGAAAAAATAAAGGCAAAACATTTTTGCCTTCACTTAAAAAACGACAACATTATACGAGCAATAACAAACTCAAAAAAAGAAAACAACAAACAAAAAACTATAAAAATTAAATATTTAACAAGGACTCGCTAAATACGCCTAAGAACTTCATATTTTTTTTTTAATAAATATAGTTTAAGTATAGATAGAAAAGTATTTGCATTTAAAAAAAAGTAAGTTTTTAAGTCTTTAAAGAAATTTTTATATAACTACATACATACATGTATAATATCCTTTATAAATGAGAAAGTAACTAATAAATTCTTAGTTGTTATAAAGTTTTATGATTAAAAATTTTTTTTAAGGAAAAAAAAGTAAAAAATTAAAGAAAAAAATGTCAGGGTCATTACAGGTTTTCTTTAGACTTTATGAGGAATTTTTTAATTTTTTTTTATATGCCCTCATTACATTTTAAAAGAATTTTATAAAAAAAAAGAAATTCTCTTTTTTTTAATTCCAGTCTTTTGTTTTTTATACTTTAATCACGCTAATTTGTAATCATATTGTACTCAATATGCATATTGCAATTTTATTATTTATTTTGTTTTTATATATTAAAATGTAATTTAAATTCTATATAGTAAATGGCTAAAAATTTTAATGATTTTAATAGGCATATAAAATTAAAATTTCAAACTAAAAATTGAAATTGAAAAGAATAAAACAATTTATACGAGTATAATACTGTAATTTAGTTATGATTGACGGCATGATGGATTTTTTTGGAGTCGGATTTCTTTTTACATTGTTTCTTTAAAGAAATTACTAAAAAGAAAAATTAAAGTATTCAAATTAATAATTAATTATGTATATTATTTGTATATTAAGAAATAAATCGAATTCAGAAAATAGAAAGTTGAAAATTTTCGGAGATCGTAGTATCCGAACATTAAAAATTAAAAGTAAAAGAGAAACAAATTCTACTCTAAAGTTTTTTTAAATTCAGATGATAGGAAAATATAAGTCTTTATTAGATAGAGGTTTCATAATTCATAAAAATAAATTTTAAATTAGTGATTATCAATTAGTTAGATTATTTCCTAAAAATACCTTCCGGGGAAAACACCTACGGAGCGTTCCGAATTCTTTTCTTTAGTATACCATTCAATGTTAATTGCAAACTTTCAATTATAGTAAAATCAAATCGCTTTAAAGATATATTCCGAATTAAAAAATTTCTAAAGAAAAAATTCTGTGGAGTCTTCGTCATTTTTCATATCGAGATAACAACCTAATTATCTTTTTGCTCTTCTAGAATCTTTTGAATAAAATATGAAATGTGCTCAGTAAGCTCATATTTTCCCATTTTAATTGGGTTCAATATTAATTGTATTTCATTACTTATTTTATACTTTTATAGTAATGAAATAAAATTAATATTGAAATGTATTATATATTATAATACATATTAAATAAAATCAATTAATTTACATATTATATTACATATACATTTATATATTATTAAATTTTGTGTAAGATTTTTTCAATTTATTCAATAAAATTAATAAAAAAAATTTTCCTATTTATTTTATATTATTATTTTCTATTTCAGTTAACTGCTCTGTTTAAAGGTATGTTGATTTATATTTAAATATATTTTACATATACATACTTTCAAAATATAGATTATATAATAATGATATACTAACATATAAAAGGTATGTAGGTACATACATTTATGTATATGCATCATATTAAATACTTTTAACCACATAAAAGTGTCGTAATTTTATTTTATTTTTGTTATTTTTTTTTATTATTATAAAAGTATTTTATCTGCAAACGAGTAATTTTAACTACATAAAATAAAAACAACAAAATATAATACTTAAAGGAGTTTACTTTATATCAAGGATTTAATATTGAAAATTTTCTTGAAAATACTTTTAACAGGATATATATATGTATGTATATATATTCCAAAAAAAGATAATTGACCTCTGGCCACAATATAAGAAAACTATAACTTTATTTTTACTAAAGTAGTAAAAATAAAATGAAAAGAATAGTAAGAAACAAAAAAACAAAATACAATTTCATTTTATCACATTCAATTGTACATTTCATCGTACAAATAAATATATTTTCTCCCATTTATATGAAAATTGTTAACAAGCACTTAAAAAATAAAAATTTTCTTGTATTTTCATTTTAAATGAAAATTTTCTTGTGAATATATATTGGTAATCTATATAAAATTTTTACTCATCTGTTATACATTTTATTGTAAAGTACAAGGATATACATTAATATAAATAAATGTAAATTTGTGACTCAATGGAAAAGTAGTATAAGTACGATTTATGCCAAAAATGATATAAGCTCATATTTGAATGCTTGTTTTAAAAATCCCTCTTTTTTTTGTCAACCAATTTACATATCTTTAGTTGAATAGGAAATATATTGTTTCTTGTAATTGAAATCATTTCACCATGATATTAAAATATTTGAAAGTCTTAAAGAGAAGGTGCCTACACTTTACTAAAATTACCGTAAATCTTTTATTTTGCATTAAGGCAACAAACTGATTTACAAACTAATTCAGAACTTAAACTTGTTTCCTTTACTTTTCCGTTTTACTACTGTTATATACAAATATAGAAATACATATATGATAAGTAAATTCATATATATATCATCCATATATGCATTCATAAATATTGTGGTTAAATTTGCATATTCATTTATAAATAATTGTATATATATATATATATCTTCCATATATATATATATATATATATATACATAAGGATATATATATATATACATATATATACATAAGGATATATATAGTAATATATATATATATATGGATATATATATTACTATATACTTAATATAATTATATACATTTATTAGTTATTCTCCATTTTCTTTCCTCAATACTTATATAATATATAAATATATATATATATATATATATATATATATATATATATATATTATATATATATATATATATATATATATATATATATATATATATATATATATATATATATATATATATATATATATATATCTCCGCTTACATATAGTGTACATTTGTTGATAAGCATATCCTAAAACTAAAATGTCATTATTTTAATCAATTTGTTTTTGATGTTATTCAAACTAAATATATACTTACATATTATATTATACACTATGTCGTCCACCTATTATTTATATTTGTGGTTAATATGTATATATATTTAACACATAACTGTATATACCATATAATACGATTATACTACTGACAATCATGAAGTCCAATATATCTGACCACTATTCATCATTATAGGTAAGTCAATTTAACTCATTGAAAATAACGAAGTACCTATAAAAGAAAATAATAATATAGAAAATAAAAATATCAATAAAAATACAAAAAAAAAATCAAAATAAGAAAAAGAAAAAAAAACGACAACATAATTTAATTATCAGTTTCTTAACTTTATAACAGTATTTTCACTTTATATAACACCTAGTAAAATGTAATAGAATAAAAAAAAATATTATGTTACATACAATACATAATAATACTACTTGAATAATATATTTTATAAATATATGTGTTGTTATATATACATATACAAATATATATTAAAACAATATTAATGAAAAGGAACAACAAAATAATAATAATAGGAAAAAAATAGAAAATGGTTAACCATAACTAAACAATAATCATTTGAAAATGAAAATAGTAATTTATTTTTCCTTTCTTTTAATATATAAATATATATATATATATATATATATATATATATATATATATATATATATATATGTATATATGTATATACCATACATAATAATAATAACAATAATAATTTATTGTAATATAAAGAATGATATTATGTCCTTTAATATTAAAGGATACAAAAATTTTATATTCACAAATATGCATACATAAAAAGTTTATTAATTATTGAATAATTATTTTAGATTTTCGTTCACAATATATTATATAAATTTTAGTAGGTACATATTTTTAAATCACATAATATATTTAGAATATAATAGATATTATTGTATATTATTATACTTGGAATTGTTATATATGTATGTACGAAAAGGCTATTCACTTATATTGTGTTCTTATTATTTATCTAATAAAATAATGATTTTGATTTAATTATTTGCACATACACTAGTTTTATACGAAAGTATATGAACGGAAATTATATAATTGTAACATATATAGCAAAAATTAAAGAAAATTATATGAGTTTATTACATGTAAATAATAGAGTATAATATGTAAATTAGAAAATTTTAATTATAAATGTAGATTTTATTATAATTATTATACAAAATATAATAACAAAAATTAATTATTCTTGAAATACATACTAAAAATGCTAATTTTAATTATAATTATTTCAAATTTCTGAAATAATATATATTATATAACATTAATTTACATTGCCTACAAACGTACTATATTAGATAAATGATATTGTTTTAAAAATAAATCAAATAATATTGTAATTTAAAAGGAACCTCGAAAAATATAATACTATAATGATTTAACTGCAAGAATTGTATGAGAGAACGAAAAAAAAAATGATTTTATTCAAAAACTTCACAATACGAGTACTTATCACTTTCTTCAATAACGAGCTAAAAAATTTAATATTTTCTAATAATTATTTTCGAAATTACTATTGTCAATTAAAATATAATAAAACATAATGTGGGGATAATAAAAAATTTGTAAAAATATAAATCTATTATACCAATTTTTTAAATATTTACAAGTGACTTTTTCTATAATACGCCTTATACAATTATATGAACAAAATAGAACTAGAGACTTAAATCTATATTTAAAAATAAATATAAAAAAAAAAATTATTTTTAATTCTTACTAAATTAATTACTAAAACTTCTATATTATTATATATATTATATGATTTTAACAAACTATTTTACGTTCTTATTCTATTATTCTTACTTAATAAAAATAATTAAAGAAAAATATATTGAGCAATAATAATGTGATAAATGATTAACAATTAAAATATAAAAACAAAAGAATTTAATAAAAAATTAATAGTATGAATTAAAAGTTAAATATCACTTAACATAGTAAATGTTTTATTTATTTAATTATTCTATATATAAGTCGTATAACTTATAATAATATTATAACTTTGGATTTTTCAATTAAAATTTCAATTATCCCTATAATTAACAAAGATTATCAATATTGCATGTTTTAACTTTATTTTTTCCTATATTTTTTTCTTATATGGTTTTTATACTACATTTTTTTTTTTCAATCTAATAAAATCGTATTAATTTAAAGAAATATAGCTAAATAAAAATAATAATAATAAAAAATAATAACAGTAATAGTAATATAAAAATGTAAGTATGTATAAAGAAAAATTTTTCAACAACAGAACATTTTAACAAAATAATAATTAGAATTAGGAAGCAAAGCCATGTGCCACTTGAATGTCCGGTTTAATCTTATCTAACATTGTTTTTCCGTCACGCAATCTTACGTCCACTCTTATGGAATTTTTTTCCATTTCTATACTTTTTATTGTATTTTATTTTAATATCATTTTCTCAATTTTTTTTCCCATATATTTTATTTAATTTTTTATTTTATTTATTATTTTTCCTACTGGTTTTCATTTTTTCTTTTAATATAGTAATATAGTGGTTAAAATTTATGTTGAAATGGTCTTATTTTTTTTTCTTATTTTTAATATTATTTTTCTATTCTTAATTCTGTTATGATTTCTTAGTTTATATTTTAATATAAAATTTTTATTTTTAAATACATAACATACATAACATTTATACAATAATATATTATAATATGTGTACATATATGTAAGTGGTATATAATTGGAATGGTGCAATTTTTTTATGGTTTTTAAATTGATAGAAAAGAAGTGATAAAATAAAAATAGGAATTAAATTTGTACAAACAGGTTGTCAACAACAAAGCACAAAAATTTTCTTTTTAAAAATAGAATCAAAATAAATAAAAATTCTTTATAATTTTTTTTGTTTTGCCTTTGCTTTCTTTGTATATATTAAAGGATATTGTGCAAGGATATGTACATAACATGGTATATTTATTAAAAAATAAAGAATAAATATAAAAAAAAGGATAATAATTTGATATAATTTTGTGGATAAAATAAAATTGAGAATATTTTTTTTTTCTTTTATCAGTTTAAATTCTTATAGTCCATATATGTATACAAATTTGACATAAAAAATTTAAAAAATATCCTTTGATATTGTACACATCCTGTTTATGTACTTAACTAACATAAATATGATTTTAAAATACATAATTTTTTTTTTGGTAGCATACTTATTTGTTTAATTTATTTAATAATGGAATTGAAAATTTATAAACTGCTTAAATTTATTTGATTCACCTAAATACCTCCTTTGGCATTATTTTTTTTTTGAAAGTTATGGTAATAAAAAAAAGTTATGGTAATAAATTATTTATATATGAACGACAAAACTAGTAGGTACTTTAAAGTGAAAAATATTTGAAAGGTGAATAAAACTAATAACTAAAATTTAGCCTACTAATAATGCAAATACT